GGCGCCAGCTCCCCGTGAAGAATATGGTCTTTATGTAATGTAACACAAATGTGGACTAGCGGTGCTAAGAACTGAAATGAAATAAAATTAAAGATAGTAAGAGAAGACCGTTCTTAGAGCTTCAAACACAGGCTGAAAATGTGTGCACCACTTTGTCGATTTGCCTGTGCAGCTCACTTTGTCTGCCAGTGGATATAAACAGTCTAAATGTTCTCTTTTTCACTATGAAGTGACTACTCTTACGTAGACTAAGCAAGCTAAGAGTTTATGCAACAGTTGAGAGCTTAAAATCACAGTGTTCTCGTATAAACAAAAACCTACTATGCTAAAAGAGAATTTATTTTACAAAATGTTAAGGGATAACTAAATCACAAAATGAAATTTCAAAGTCCTTTTGAAATATGATTTTAAATGTTAAACTTCTTCAAAGCATTTAACTATATTGCTTAGCAAAATAGCTTCAAATTTACCTTGAAGAACTCAAAACTCAATGTTTAAGAATGTTTTCTACTTAAGCACAAATCAGAAATTACTATAAAATACAGCAGAAATTATTGTATGAGGGTGAATTAAAGTAATCATTTAGAAAAAATAATTTGGCAGTGTCTTTTCCTTTAGGATTATGTGTTTTGCATAAATTTTCCCTGTAAAAATAACAAAGAAAGGATATCCAAAATGCATTTTCATTTTGTCTGTGGAGAGGCCAGGACCAATTCAGAAAGGAAATACATGCCTGGAATTCTGCTCGGTACCAGAATACATTGGGGTTAGGGTATTAAATCGCCTCAGGCCCCTTCGGGGCTGCAAAACAAACCAAAATTGTCTCCGGGGTTATAAATTCAGGAATGATGTGGTGGAAGGGAAGGTAGGGAAAGAAAACTGGGGCAAATGTTTTTTTAATGTTTGCCTTTGGGCAGGATGTTTTTTCTTATTAGTTTACTGCTCCTAATAAATGTGAAATGCTTTCTCTCTTCGCTTTATGAACTACTATTATTTTGGTCTGGGCTCCTACTGTGAAAAACGAAACATAAGGCCTGGCAAAGTATCAGAGAAAACGGTTCCCTAGTGCTAGATGCAAGAGACCATGGATGCTGGGAGCTAGTGGCAGGAGGTGACACCACCATACCTTGTTCTTGCCTTCGGTGGAGCCATATGTGGAATCCCATAGATGATCTCATCTCCCAACATTGTTCTCGACAATGCATGTAGAAGTAAAGCTTAAGCTGATTAAGGCGCCAAGTGATGGCTTTCACCTTCAGAATTTGATTGCTGTTGGGAAGATGTAATGATGATGGAAGGAAGTACCTACCATGGAATTTTACCCTGGGCTACAAGAAGAGACACTCTGCCAGATGGGAAGAAGATGAGAATCCAGAGAAAAGAGCAGCGTGGGCAGTTGTGGTCACCATGCCTCCTAAGTACAGATGTAGCTAACTAAAAATAACTTCATAGTACAACCAAAGCTAAGAATCAACTGATAAACAGGGTCAGTACGATATCACTCTTGGACCAGAAGAGATAAACAGCAGTTGTTCATGATTGCAATCTTTATTTCTCATGTCATTGTTTTGCCAGTTCCCCGGGAAGCTTGAATCTTCTTCTCTAAGCAAGTGTTGCCACATTACTGCCAAAGAATATATGCTGCCAAAAAAGTGAAGAAACTCCTTGAGTGTTAGCCCCAGAACTACTGAATTTATGATGAGAGGAAAATGATTAACACAGCACCCATGGTGGGCTGGCTAGGAAGTGCTCTGAGTTGGGTTGCAAAGTTCGGGCACATCTCCGCCTGAGGCCTCATTGAAAAGGCTGGTGTGGGCGGAGCAGGTCCTCTCTTCCCTGGGAAATGGGCAAGTTGAAGAATGACCTTTCAGGAAGGAAGAAGTTTAATATATTGATGTATAAGCAACTCCATCGTCCTGCTGTTCCCTTTCTAATTTATAACCTTCTGTGACTGGTTTATAGGAGTCTTCAAAAATGTGATTAGCTTTACTTGCAAGAAACTTGCTGAGGTTCTGGGGTAATGATGTGTCAGCTCTAAACTCACTCAGCTAATCTGAAGGAAAATTTGTAGAGCAGGAAAGAGCCAGATTCAGAGGTGCTGACTTGTGAAACATGGCAGTAAGTGCCTGTCTACCTAAAAGATCTTAAAGTCTAGTTTCCCAATTACGCAAAGGAATAGAAGTAATCATGGGCAAAACAAGAAGTCTAAACATCAACATCAAGAACAATGAATAAGGGCTGGCCAGATACATTAGCAGACTAAAGCATCTGCTTAGGCAGAGCGCAGCAGCCTGGGTTCAATCCCCAGTGTGCCATGTTGGCCCCACCCCCAGGCATGCAGAGATGGCGAATGAGACATGCACCTGTAATGGCAGCACTTAGGAGGCTGAAAACTGGAGAATCACTATGAGTCCAATCTGTTTAGTGAGACCCTGTACTAAATACATTTAAAAAAACACACACACACATATTCATTTGTACCCTCCATGCCCAAGATTCTGCTTTCTCATAAGAGTAAGCAAAGCAGTTAGTGTGGCTTCTCAAAGGTTAGAAGGAAAGTGGTGGTAGCCTGAGGCTGAGGGGTGCCGGGCACAGGCAGCTGCATTGGTGGTGAGGCAGGCCTGGGAGCAGGGCCTCAGTGAGGTCGCTCCAGGCCACTCACTCCTCACTTATTCCTCATGCATGCTCAGAGCCTCTGTGAAGTGCAAGGCACCCGGGAGCACACAGGTACTGCAGGTGCGCAGTGTCATTGCTGAGCACGCATTGCAGCATTCTAACTATTAGGGGCGTAAAGTAGCTGATCTAAATCTCTGTGATGTGAGAATTTATTTAATATCCTCAGTGATGCTCACTGAGGATATTAGTCTGGAATTAACTCAGTACGGCAGGGAGCTTTGTCCCTGCGTCAGTCTGTCTGGGTTCTCAGTCAGAAGAGTCAAAGGCTGGTGGCTGGGGCCACCCGGGGCTTGTGGACACCTCTGTCTGGTGATTGGTGGTATCTGTGTGCTGATACTTTGGTTGGAGATTGGCCAAACTTCTACACATGCTCTCTTCATGTGGGCTGGGTTTCCATGCCATATGGTGGCTGGGCTCAAGGGTGAGGGCTAAAATTTGTGCCAGGTTGCACCCTTTTTATGACCTCGCCTTAGAAGTCACATGGCATCAGTTCCTCTGTGTTCCATTGGTCATAGTGTCGCATACCCTACTGAAATGCAAGGGGTGGAAATAGCAGCCCCAAATATCAGCGTTAGGTACATTGATTGAGAAGCACATATATATATATATATGTACACACAAATATGCCCACATATATGTGTGTATGTATATATGTGTATGATATATAAATGTATAATGTATATATTTGTCTACATAATATAATACACTATATAGTATTTGTATGTATTATATAAAATATAAAAATGTATTTTATCTCATATTGCACATGCATATGGCTAGATACATACAAGTATACATACATATATGTATATACCCATGTGTACACATATATATATACATTTATGAAGCTGTGTTTGGAAAATAGAATCTGCCACATTTAATAGGAATAGAAGAAAAATCACAATACAAACTAGAATATTGTTTTTATTTGTTGTATAAGTATGACCTTTGGGATATAGATTAATAAACTACTTACCCAAGCACTGTGCTTTACAAACTTGAACCATTTGCATCCTTATTTCAAAATTTTATGAAAATTTTTTATTACTATGTCACTTTCTGTGCCACTGTTTCCTTAATCATTCTTTAAACGGGGCCACTGACTTTTTTTCTCAGAAATTATGACAAAAACTGATTCCATAATTTATTTGCCAAAAAATAAAGGTAACTTTAAATATAATGAAAATAAATAGAACTGCTAGACCTTAGGCTTCCTGCTTTCTGGAAGCTTCTGTATTGGAAGCAGTCGCACTCCTACCAACTTAAAGCTTTCTGTTTGCCTTGACTTAAAAGAGAAGTGAGAGGAGATTATGCCTAGCAGGAAGGATGATGCCACTTAAGTCTGGTCTGGGCACCACCCAGGATCCTTTAAAGAATTATCAAACTCAGCCCTAATTGTTTGGCAAACACTCACCCAGGATGTTACAGATTATTGATGTTGTAGCTTTCATCTAGCCCTAGCCAAAGTATTGGGCTCCCTGAGGGAGACCAGCATGGTGCGCAGAGCCAGTGCTTATTAAAGAAAGTGATTGCAGTCCCCAGGTGTCAGAGGCTGGGCCCTTCATGCCTCTGTGTGGCTTTATTTTCATGGTTTGGGGTCTGCCCACCCCCACAGTCCCCTGATGAGTGATCCAGAGAGTGCCAAAGGGCCTTCAGTGGCTGGCTTCTCTGTAGTAAAGCCTGGCTGCTGCAGGGTGTTATTGCTGTGGCCCCATGCTGCAGGAAGGACTTTCTGCTCGCCCCTGTGGCTAGCTCATGACCCAGGCTTTATGGGCCACCCTCAGTCCAGAGCCCTTGGGGACACATGCAGATTTCTAAATCCTGTAACATTCAGTCTTAAGAAATGATTTGTACCTGCTGAGGCAAGTGTTGCCCAAGCCCCTAGGGGTGTCAGAAACAGAGATAAATGCTTTCTTAAAATATGGGAAAGGCGTATAGGGGTCGCTATTTTACCCCTAAAATTAAATCTCTTGTTTAGGAGAGTGGGTACCAGGAACTGAACTAGGGACTTCATGCTTGCTAGGCAAGCACTGTAGTACCACTGAACTTCTGACCTAAAATTTAATTTCTTGTTTAGCAGTCCCATTATTTTTTTTAGAGTATATAATAGGAAATACTATATACTACTTTTTTTCCTTCTGGATCTTATTTTAGTGGTTTTTAGCAAAACAGAAGGTTTGCAGAGGTTAGGGGGAAGACAAAGCTAGCCAAAGATCTCCAGGGAAGCAGGCAGCAGGCTTTCCCACACTCTAGGACTTGCCGTAGCAGTGCCCTCCTGCACGGGGCTGGCCCTAACAGAGCGTCTCTCCCTTCTTTGTTTACAGTCAGCTGCAGTGAAGCTGTCGAAGCCAGCGGCTCTGTGGACCCAGCAGGATGTGTGCAAGTGGTTGAAGAAACATTGTCCAAATCAGTATCAGCTCTACAGCGAGTCGTTCCGACAGCACGACATAACTGGTACAGTGTACAGCGTCTAGCTACTTCTTTCCCTTTTCCCCTTCTCATATGGTGGCCCTTCCCATATCCTTCCAGTGAAATGGCATCTTCCTGACAAAATTGTCTGTTGTAGGTTTAGTTTAAAAAGGCCAATAAACTCCAATCCACTTGAGCCATAGTACTTAACGAACACAAGTGGCTATGAGAGGAAACTGGGTTTTGAGTATCCGGTATAAATGCATGTTCAGAGTGAGGGGTTGGAGGGCCCTAGAGAAAATGAGCATGCCAATCCTGGAAAAAAAGGTTTTTTGGTTATAGGATCAGCATGGGCATCTTCTAAGCAGGCAAGATGTTTACCTCGAATGATTTTGTTGTTCACGATGTTAAAGTGTAGTGACTTTTCTGACTGGTAAGATATTCATGTATCCAGTGACAAAGAAGAAGCCATGGTAGAAAGTCAGTTTCCCTGCCAGCCCTGTCCTCTGACCATCCAGTTCCTGGAGGACCCCCTTTTATGACCACATCCAGAGATGTTCTAAGTTTCTGAAGTACAATTATAATAGTAACTTGCTGTCCTTTAAGGCACCAACTACGACTCCATTAATTCAAGATTATTGCACTGTTGTAGGTAGAGGTCAAGAAACTCTTAGAAGCAGAAAATGGGACGATGTGTACACTGCAGATACCATAGACTGGAGTCACTCAGTTGGGAGCTGTATGGGCCAGACAGCGATTGTGCCCACCCACCTACCCACTGTGGTGTCAGTGCGAGGAAGAAGCTCGCGCCCAGGTCTCCTCTGCCTTTCATGCTGCAGTCCTGCCTTCCATGCTGCAGTCCTCCCTGCAGCAGGGCAGTACTCCTCCCTCCTCCACAAAAGAAAGGGAGGGCAAAGGAGCGCTGTTCTGTGGGCTTGGTGGCAGGAAAGGATGTTGGGGATCTGGAGTGTGGTGCTCTCTCCACTCTGGAGGATGGGTGCTCCAGCAGAAGAGTGCCTTTCCCTGGAATCACTGTGCGCACTGGAACTCTGAGCCTTCTTTCCAGTCTACCTTCTATTTGAAGAAACCCTGACCTCTCTTTCTAGTTTCTCCTATTGCTTTGAAAAGAGATGTGTTAATCAAAGAGTATTCATAATATTCCTTTTTACAGCTCACTTCTGATTCTGTAAACATGAGGTCAGCTGAACTTTCTACCTCTCTAGAGCAGAAATTGTGGTTTTCAAAGTGTTTCCTGGAGCCATTGGCTTTGATAATGCTGTGGGTCGACATGTGTTTGTCACCCAAACCAGCTACCTTTTAGTCTGTTTTACATATTCCACTCATCCAGAAAACTGATTCGCAGATGTGTTCTAGCAGTAAGTTTAAAAATTGCTGAGCTAGGTTAGATGCTCGCTGATCAAGATGGTAATGCCTAAATATACAGAGTTCACATGAAGTACAGCTCAAGCTGCTAACAGGAGAGTGGAATTCTCCTAAAACCACCTTTTATGGCACATTTTCTGTCCACAAAATTAAAGCTAAGGACCCTTTAGGGTGAAATTCCAGAAATCCGGAAGGTAGTGAGGGCACTTAGATTATGAGTGTCTAGATGTCATTGTTTGTTCTTACATCAGGATGTAAGAAAACCTCATGTAAGATCAGTTATTGCACCCCCAAAAGTAATCAGTTCTCCATAACTATTTTTCGAATTATAGGCTCTTTCATCAGATAATAGCTGTCTAATGCTCTTGTAGGTAATAGCAATGAGTCCTCTCATGATCTTATTTGAAAGAAGTGCTGTCCTTTATTATGGATGAGAATTATGAGGTACGCTAGAAGGACAGACAAGTTTTGTAATGGCTTGTAGAGGCTAGGCAGGGTGCCTCTACGAATGCTTTGGTGCTTGTGAAGTAGAAGGTAGCAGAAGGGAGGGGATCGGGAAGGAGGCATATATTGCCAACAATTGTCACATTGCTTTTGGTGATACAGTTGGTCTCTACAGAACACATCCGGTATTGGTAACTTGCAGCCTTTTTTGGATCTTGGCAAACAGCTTAACCTGGGTGAGTTATTCAACCTCAATTCCTTCTCTTCAAAGTCAGGAAGATAATAGTACCTGTCTCAGGGGATTGTCATCAGGATAAATGAACTCATACAGAACACCTTCTGTCTGCAGCTTTGTGCTGTTAGAACATCCAATCTCACCTGGGGTTGTGGAACATATATTCACACTTCATTCTGAGGGCAGCCTGCTCTCTGGCAAGCAAAGAAGGCAGGAATTTGTTCTACATCTCCTTGGTGTCTTATTGGCAGCCTTCAAGGACCACTGTCTTCTGTTCTCCGACCCCTGCCTTTGTTAGGAATAATGCAAAGTACCCAAATGATCCCAAGAACCAAGGCCATAAAAGCTTCCAGGACCGGAGCCAGATCTTAGTTACCAGGCAGCCAACATTCTGGAAGCTCTGGAAATCCCAGTATCCTTGGCGGCTACGGTGATGACCAAGGTGAAAAAGTTTGCAGAAGTAAAGAAGTGATACAGGATAAACCTCAGTAGGCCGTACAGACAGCAGAGTGATTTGCCTTGGTTTTTTGTTGTTGTTGTTTTGTTTTGTTTTGTTTTGTTTTGTTTTATTGACAAATATCAATGAGACAGTTTCAAAGCTGATTAATAGAACATTTTCAATAATTAAGACATGGTACATTGTTATTTTCTTAGTGGTTATCCATAGCACAAGAAGCAGACATGGTATCCTGTCCAAACACTGTTAGTACAGATCTTTCTTCTCACTGAATTAAGCGAATGTAGCTGTATATCTATCCTAACTATTCTGTATATACAAATACAAAATGGTCCTTCCTTCCTTTGTATCCCTTTTTTTTTGTTTAGTCCTGTCAGAGATGGGAATTCTCTTGGCATCTAAATACTACAGGTGCTTGAATTCAGCAAAACAATCCAACACAGTCCAGCAGTCCACAATAGTAGTGGGTTACCCACAGAAGTTATTGACTAGAGCCTTTTACAGCTCAGCATATTAATATGGCTTTACCTTATCATACCTCATTTTTATACCTTTCTGCTGGATGGTTAAGACGAAGAGATTTACCATGTTGATAGTGGCCACATGGGTCAGATCAATGCCCAGAACTGCAACCATGTGCCTGGTGACTTTTTGAGGGCTGCTTATGCACTTTAACTTTCTTCAGCAGCAGAAGGAGATGATTGTAGTACTTAGCTGGCAGTGTTGATATGAAAGGAGCTGATGTCCTGGTAAGTGTACAATGAGTGTGAATTGGTGCTGTTTTTCTAAGTGTTATCCTGATTTCTGTGAAATGAAAACAGCACATGTAAACAGTGTTGAATTCATTGGTTCTGTTATCCTGGAAGTGAAAAAGGAGACCTAAGAGGGGTCCAGACTGGTAAATATGCTGCACTGCAAACAAGCCCATTCATGTACAGGATAGGTTTATGGTTTGACCCTCTCAAGTGTTGCCATTCATTGATCTTTCTTAAAGAAAGGGTCTCTAATATTGTGCTCATTAAGAAAGCATGTTAAATTAGCATCTCTTAACTAAATGACAGATGGTCCAGTGAAGATAAACAAAAAGGACATTTATTAAATAAAAAGAAAATGCGTTTTTTGACAATAGATCTGAGTCAGATCTTCCCTACTGTCCTTTACCTCAACCTTGAAGACATAGTAGCTGTTCAGTGTCATGCAAGTTAGTTTCTTGTTAGTGGAATCAGATTTATCTTTAAAGGTTGTTTAATTGATGGAATGGGATGATATCAAGCTTAATGAATATAAATATTTATGGGGCACCTACCATGTGCTAGATTTTTGTATTGAAAAAGTAAGATACTCAATAACCCATGTAGGGAAAATAATTGTGCTTTGTTGGAAAACTTGGCAAAACAACCTATTATCACACCATTTTGTGGCATCTAATTCTGAGTCCAGGAAGCAATTTGATAACTCTGCAGACTGCGTATAACTGATAGAAACACAGTAACCTCTCCTTAGCTGTGGTTTTAATTAACAGTGGCCTAAAAAATATTAAGGGGAAAATTCCATATTTTGAGAGAGAGTTCACATTCCCATAACTTTTGTTACAATCTACAGTTATAGTTGTTCGATTATATTAGTTATTGTTGTTAATCTCAGTGTGTCTAATTTTTATGCCAAATTTTACCATCAGTATGTATAGGAAAAAGCGTGGTGTGAATAGGCTCAGGGCTGTCTGAGGTCTCAGGGATCTCTTGTCTGGGAGGGCTTCCCCTACAGCAATCCGGGTACTAGCACATAATGAAATTCCTACCTGTTGCAGTTGAAAGGTGAATTTTCCTCTCCTGGTTTTTAATTATATCTGCGGTTTGGATTCTCTTGTGAACTCATTTCCTCAGTAATGTTAAATAATAATCTTATATATATGTTAATTTTTGCATTTGTAAGATTTTAAAGTCTTTTGAAATCATCCTTCAATCCTAGTATTTAGAAAAAATATTTGTATTTGTGTTTCCACAAATAATTCCACTCCATTAGTATTTCTCTTATGCCTTTGAAGGACTTTCAATTCTAAACAAATATCCCCCTAGTTGCTCTAAAGCCTAAGAAAAATTTAGGTACATTTTAACCTACCAGCATTCTAAGGCTTTTGTAAATTTCCTATTAAAATTTCTGATAATTTCAGTGTGTTCAGCAGCCACCTGCTATTTTGTGGAAAATGTGTTTAGTCAGAAGAAAAATTACTTGTGTTACCTCCCTGCAGAAGTGTTCTTTAAAAGGAGTAAGATTGTTGGAACACGGGAAAGGCATTAGAATATATAGATTTAAATCACCAGATTAGGCTAAAAGGAAAGAAATTTGTCTATTTCCTTGCCTTGAAGGATTCGTTCCCTAGCTTTCTGAGTCCTGGCGTGGCATGCTGATGAGGAGGCTCTACCGGGAGCAGGTGTGAGCTCACAGGCAGCTGCCAGATTCCCTTTCATGCAGTTAAGAATCTTTTCAGGTTGGAAGAAATTTCCGCCCCTGGCTGTGCCTGGTGTT